CACAGGGTAAGTTCGTCATGAGGAGGGGTGTTGGATCGCACAGGGTAAGTTCGTCATGAGGAGGGGTGTTGGAAAGTCTGTGAAGTTTTGTTCCATTCTTCTGTAGTCTCCAATCCTTCTTAACTAAATTCAAGTTGTTAACTCTGTATGCTGATCTTAATGTGCTTTTGGTTTGTAACTTTAGTGCTATCCTCCATTTTACAAAATTTCAATAGGGAAGAAACCATTTCACACGATTTATGATTAAATCATTTATGATTAAAATAATGTATTTATATTCTCTATTCTAGTCTGATATTTGCAGGGGAACTAGATCAACCTCATAGAAAGTCAATCTAAACTAATCAACAGGTGGTATAGTGAATCACAGCACTCCAGACAGATGGTAAAACATGGGCAGGTCTTTAATCCCACTGCAGACTACTGATTGATTCCAGAGTCTTTGGCACCTTAAGCCCTTTACGGCACCCAAAAGGAAGGTTTAGACTGGTGTTGTGGTACACAAGTGCTCCCAGCACCAAGGAGCCTGAGGCAAGAATATCACAAATTCTAGGCCAGCCTGAACAACATGGCCACACCATGTCTATGGGAAAAATAAAAAGATTTGTAAATAATCTTCTGTCCTTAGTTTTATAACTTGAATTGCTTCTGAAACTTCTCTACAATTAATCCAATCTCTGTTATTTCCCAGAAAAAGGGGTCCATGTGGTCTCCTTGCCCTGCAGACTTTCCAAGATAATCTCTCAGCTTTGAACACACCTTTTATTATTTACTAGCATGACTTCTTACACCTCAGGTTAAACAGTTAGCTTCCTTTGGGAAGACCTCTCTAGATGCCCATTAGGGGGAAGGTCCATGCTTTGGGTCTTGCCCCCCCCCACACTGATATTTTCCCCCTCATTCATATAGGTATTCATTTACACCATTACTCCAGTATAACAGTTTTCTAATTGTTGTCAACTTAATTATAGTCTCTGAGCTTTGCGGTGAGGAATTTCTACTATGTTACTCATCTATATACCTTAAGATCAGAGCACATTGCTTGATACATCACATATACGTATTATAATACATGAATTAATGTGCATTGAGGGTTACAGTTTTAATAAGCAGTTTGAATATCTCTTGGATATGAGACATGACGTGCCACAAAACGTGGCTAATATCTTCAGTGATCCATACATTGCAACTCTACCATTTAGAACATCTGAGATAATACCCATGACACATATCAGGGAAGAGAAGACTGACCCTAAAGTCAACAGGAGGCTTGGCTTGAGAGAAGGTGTGAACACACATTGGATTGTGGGGAGCTTCTGATTTCCAGACAGTGTGAAAATTTCTGATTGTGCTATTCAACTATGGCTGTGTTATTTAACTTTGAATTAAAAAGAATAGCTATTGCCTCTGACCCTGTGCACATGCTACCACATGGTGTTCTATCATTTTTATGTTACTACTGCTATGCAGTAGACTTTGGCTGGTAATAATGGCTTCTGAAATGATGGTATCAGGCTCTTGGGCTAATCTAAAAGATGAATGGGACACGGGGGCAACAATGAACCTATTGGAATATTTATTTTTAAAGCCACTTCTCATTAACATTTTAAAATTCAACTCTAACACAATGGGTATTTATGTACAGTTGTATCAGTGTACCCACTATACTTACACTTTAAAATAGTGACTTTACAGCATAGAGAACCCCAGTGGTAAGGGGCTATGTGTCCAAGTTCCCTATATGGGGTCAGGATGAAACAAGTCCTCAACGTATGACAACATTAGTCTAAATAAACTGCATAGGAACTTGATAGATGTTATTATTATGAGAGGAGAAAATTTGCTTTTTTCCTCAAAGAACAAAAAGTTGCTCAAAATATTGTGGAATTCCATGGATGTTATATAATCACTAACCGTTAATTAAAATGCAACACCATACAGAAAACAAACAAAAAGCTGGCTTCCAAATGGAATGTAAAATAAGATTCCTCACTGAGCAGAAGTATAGAGTTCAGTATAGAACATATGTGTAGAAAGGAAATCAAAGAATATATACCAGCAGGTACAGTGCCTATGCCTGACTGTTTACACTATGCATAATTTAGTTGTATTGCCTTTGGCTACATTTACTAAATTTCTTGTTATTGGTTAAGTTTATTGTTTAAAAACAAGTAGCATTTATTCTGCAATATCTTATGATACAAGAAGGTCATGGCTGTGGTTCCCCAGCCTGAGTGCAAATTCATATATATCATTTCACTTTAAGAATATATGCGTACTTGAGTCACTGAAAAGTTATTATTAATCAAGAATGATGTACACGAGTATTACTGAAATGTATAGTTCCTCTATCTTTTCTTTTGTACATAATATAAAATATTTTAAAATAAAATGTGATTGTATTTTACCTTTATATAATTAGATAGTACTATGAACAACTGAGACAATTTTGGATATGCCAGCCCCTTAGTCCAGCAGCCATGTACCTCCCCACCACACATAAAGACATGGTATCTCTTGGTTTTGAATTCTCACCATCTTCTCCAATGTAAAGATCTTGTTTTCAAACAAATAGAGTGGTGTAAAGGTAGCATATACAACCATATGAGGGGACTGTATTGCTGAAGAACCTGGGGGGAAAAGCATATATTGGACCATGAGCATTCTTACGAACATGAAACTAAACAGTTACTTCCTCACAGTGATTTCTTTTATGGGAGGGATGGAAAAGAAGATGGGGAAAAGGGGGAGAGGAAGAAACAAAAGAAGGAGAAAGGGAAGGAAATAAGAGAGGGGAGAATATATCTAGTATCTTTTCTTTTTTGTGTGATTTAACCTTAATTACCACCCTAAAAGAATCTCCAAACACACATTAGAGGTTATGGCTTCAATATATCAGTTTAAAGGAGAAACAATCTCCTCCATGATGCTCTGCTCCTCTGTAAACTATGTCTCACCATACATGAATTCCTTTCACCCAGGACAACAGCACCAAAAGCTTTAATTCAGTTCAGCATCAACCCAATGTCCAAATTGTCACTGAACTCAAATTGTCACTGAACTATCTAACTCACCTCCGTTAAGACTTAAGGCAGGACTCATCGAGGCAGAACTTCTCTCCTACAATTATTTTTTTATTTTTTGGTTGTTTGTTTACATATACACAATGAAATTTTATTCAGCTATAAATAAAGATGAAATTAACTCCTAGCATTCTTACATGGCTTTGAGCCTGTGATACTGGACAAAAAAAAAATGTGACTTGGAAATACAAGCATAGGACAGGTAGGCACAAAAGCTTAGCAAGGCAAATTCCACTGAGTCTTGGCCTTGGGAATAGTTCCCTTGGTTGGAGTCTCCACCTGCTGGGCCCACTGTTCCCCTCCAGGCCTCAGTAGTAGCCCTACCTCATTGGCTTTGTCCAGAGAACCTATGAGAACATTCTGCAATGGCTTCACCTATAAAGAGCCCTTTCCAAGAGGCCCATTTGGCTCTTCGCATGGATAGTAGGGTTTACTAAAAGTAAGAAGCAGGGCTCAGCCTCTGCAACTGAATGGAAAATAGCCTCGTGTCTTGGGAGCCTGGTGAGATTCAGTCCTGATTACCTCTGGATCACCTTGAGGACTTACCTGCATATTCATTCATAGCCAAATAGTTCTACGGTCTGGTCCTGTGGAATTACGGACCAACAGCCTTCCTTTATCCTATCTATGTCTCTTGTAAAAGATGGCCTCTGTGTGGATAACACCCTACTCTTTGGACTTGATCTCCATGGTGAGTAACTTCCTTATGGGTGGTTTCAAGCCACATCCTTTGCGTTCTTTTATGAGTTTTTTTGTTGTAGGTTAGACTGAAATTTTTTTCTAGTCTTCAAGTTTTTATTGGTTTCTGGTTTACAATTCTGTCCTTTCACCTCCCTTCTCTCATATATTTCTACTCATAGTGAAGAACTTAGGCCTCATGCCCAACACTGTGCTGAGAAACTACCTCAGGTAAATACCCAATGTCATTCTTCACAGGTTGCTTCTACAAAACACTAGAACACACTTCTGGTAACCTCCTTTCCAACTTACAGTAAGAATTGCCTTCCCTTCCCTTTCAAATTACATCTTCCTTGTTTACAGCTAGGAGTTGTCCCACAGCATCTGTCACATACAGATTTCTTACCAACCATTTAGGCTTTTTCAGCTGTGCATCAAACTCTTCTAAGCATCCATACATCACTCAGTTGCAAATTCATCCCATTTTTTAAAGTATTTGTTATACCAGCACATTAAGTCATAGTACCAACACCTGCATTAATCCTGTCACACTTGAGAAACAGGACTGATACAGAAATAGAGTGATTATTAGGAGCTGATCCATGTAATTATCACCCAATCTACATGATGAGTCAGGCAGCTAGAGTAGCCCCAAGGAAAGCAATGGGTAGTTCCTGTCTAAAGATGACTCCAGTCCCAAGAAAGGTCAGAGTTGCTGGACCATGGTGGTCCATGCCTTTAATCGCAGCACTCAGGAGGCAGAGGCAGGCAGATCTCTGAGAGTTTGAGGACAACCTGGTCTACAGAGCAGGTTCCAGGACAGCTAAAGCAACACTGAGAAACCCTATCTAGAAAAATAAAAAAAAAAGAAAGGAAGGAAGGAAGGAAGAGAAAGAGAGAGAGAGAGAGAGAGAGAGAGAGAGAGAGAGAGAGAGAAAGAAAAAAAGAAAGAAAGAAAGAAAGAAA